CTGTACCGGGTAAACCTTCAGAAAAGCCATCTACTACAGCTTTACCCCATGCTGCAGTCTGTGATACACCAATTCAAAATTAGGAGTCAATACGACTGCCAGACCGTGCTGCTGTCTGTGATACATCAATTACTGCTGACTTTAAGCATTCAAAATTAGGAGTCAATACGACTGCCAGACCATGTATCTTAAGTATGGACCCCTGCTTTGCTGATTTGCAGGGGAATTATCCTGACGATAGGATCCACAGCATCCCCCTCCAAATGGCTGCGGTGCCCCCGAGGGTACGACGGAGGTATTGTCACACCCAAGGGTTTGACCTTGAACAGGGCTGATCAATCACATTTCAGTACAAGCAGTTGTTGGCAGATCAACAAAGCAGCAGCAAATTCAAAGTTTCTCAGAACACTGTTATCATTCACTGAACTAATTTGTATTATTACAAGAATGGAAAGAGAAATTAACAACGCACAATAAATTGATGACAACAATGCAATTCAGTCTCAAGAACAACGGAACACTGGAAACACATGGCCTTGGCAAATTTGCAAACCTTCTGCTCAAAATCTCAAATCCAGTTCTGAAAAGGAAACAACCTCACATCGCCCTTAAGGAAAAGTAAGTGAATATTCAGGGTGCTTCCTTGCAAAAATCGATGGCCGACTTTGTTACTTACGCAGAGGCTGCAACGTAAACTGCAACATGTGACAATGCTGCAGGCCCTCGCATAAGCAATACAATTGCAAACACCAAGTGATTTCAGTTGCCCAGCCAAGTAGTTATTATGGTCTAATTCACTTCTCCACGCATTGTCTTAAATACAATGGGTCTTTACACTAAAAATCAGTGGTTTTGCTAAACCAGTCAAGTTCTTCCTTGCACAAACCATCCACCCTCCCCCCACAATTTGCTTGTCTCTGCTTGTCCCTGTATAGCTGTTCCTTCTTAAAACACCTGACACCTGCAAACAGCCTGTCTCCCCACACTTTTGTCTAAAATATCTGAAATTCTGTCCTGTTAGGACACCTAGATTTTATTGGAGAAGCTCTAGGACACAGTAGATGCATTGCACTCCTCCTGAGCAGCCTTAGGGATACTTCAGTAAAAGACAAGACTGCAGCCATAGCAATGGAAAGGAGTCAGCATGCCGGTCAGATCAGCACACAAAAGCATTTATGACTTTGTGGAGAGAATCACATTCTGCAGTTAGGTTCCAGAACTGGTAACTTTAGTCTGCTAGACAGAATGTTCTCTGTAATCGAGCTGGATACAAAATGTCTTTGTCTTTAGTGATGTTGTTTTTCAGCTGTTTCATAGCTGCATTTCAGCGGTAAATGAGTTTCCCTATATGCTTAAACAAAAATGAAAGGTCAGATGTTGTAAGCTAGTTACACAAATCCCTGTGTCATTTCTACATGTGACAAGCCTTCCACAGATGCATACAAAGTCCCTATACTTACTCTAGAAGACAGTTCTACTGCATCCATGTTTTAAAAAAATACCCAGGAATTTTCAGGACAATAAATGAAACTTTTAGAACGTTTTTAAACAGTGATTAATGCAGCATGACAAAACTTGGGACAACGCTTTCAGACATTAGGATTTCTGATATAATAGGCATAGGGAGATTGTTTGATCAAGATCCAGTACACCCATGACAGACAGAACAGGTATATGGGTTTTATTCCTATGCCACAATTCAGCTCTCATACCTGGTCTTCTCCTGCAGCACGTCTTTTCAAGAGTTTATACAGCACACTATATTCTCTCTGCTAATGAATTCAAGTTAACAAAACCATAGCAGCCTTGGTTTGAAGACTTCTGGTGCAAGTGTATGTATTACTAAGTGGCCCATGTCTTTTCAACATAAAAAGTTCTTTTATTACAGGTGGGCCAAATGCTGCAATACATTCATCAGCCTACATGAAGAACTTGCACAATTTATTTTGTACACAATCCATTTCAACGGAAGTAAGGATCCAGCTGCTCAAAGGCCTTTGTTATTTAAATAAACTCAGTCAAGAAAAAGCACAAGATTTAAATCTAATAAGCATTCTTCTTGACCATCTTGATGAAAATAAGGAAGAGCCAGACGCAGATAATGGAGAGGTTCATCTTGAGTGTGCTCACCAGGCACATGGAGGACAATCAGGGGATCAGGCCCAGTCAGCATGGGTTCATGAAAGGCAGGTCTTGCCTAACCAACCTGATTTCCTTCTACGACCAGGTGACCCGCATGGTAGATGAGGGAAAGGCTGTGGATGTTGTATACCTGGACTTCAGCAAAGCCTTCGACACAGTCTCCCATAGCATTCTTCTGGAGAAGCTGGCAGTTCATGGCCTAGATGGATGTACTCTTCACTGGGTTAAAAACCGGCTGGATGGCCGAGCCCAGAGAGTCGTGGTGAATGGAGCTAAATCCAGTTGGCGGCCGGTCACAAGCAGTGTCCCCCAGGGCTCAGTTCTGGGGCCAGTCTTGTTTATTATCTTTATCAGTGACCCAGATGAGGGGATTGAGTGTGCCCTCAGTAAATTTGCAGACACCAAACTGGGTGGTAGTGTTGATCTGCCTGAGGGGAGGAGGGCTCTGCAGAGAGACCTGGACAGGCTGGATCGATGGGCCGAGGCCAACTGCATGAGGTTCAACAAGGCCAAGTGCCGGGTCCTGCACTTTGGTCACAACAACCCCATGCAGCACTACAGGCTTGGGGAAGAGTGGCTGGAAAGCTGCCTGGTGGAAAAAGACCTGGGGGTGTTGGTTGACAGCCGGCTGAATATGAGCCAGCAGTGTGCCCAGGTG